TGTGGCCAACCATGGCAATCCTAATAAAATACTTTTATAAAATTTCAACTTCAATAAAATAAATTTAAAAAAAAAAATGTTCCCAATTAATAAAATATTATTGTCTAACTTTAATAAGAAAATAGTAATACCTAAAAAATATTCTAATACAATCTTTTTATTGAATTTCAACTTTAATAAAATTAAATATAAAAATGTTTTTTAAAAATGAATAAAATATTTTTCTTCAACTTTAATAAGCAAATATTAATATCTAAAACAATTTCCACAGTTGATGGAAATTGTTGAGCTTTCTTCTTATATATTTTTGGCTAAATTTTCGATTTCTGTTGCACCCAAAACCATTTTATTTACATACATATATAAAAAAAATTTTGATTAATTTATATACTCAACATACAGATATATAATTAGATTTCCCTAGAAGCTGTTCTTTTTGCCAGCGCAAAGAAATCTCTATAGGAAAAGCTCTCAGAGCGCCAAACTGAACTATTTGTCTAGCTGCCTTGAGCCGACTTCAATTGAAAATCTTTCAGCGCAGTTTTTCCGTGATTGTTAACGGCACTTGTCGGGCGAGAAGAAGGTCAAGCTGACCGAGAGTGGATATGGCCGATTGGAAAATGCGATTAGCGCGACGAGATTTGGGTTTAACTTTTGCTCGCCTTTTGACTGCGGGCAGGCGCCAAAAGTTGATAACGATTTGATGCCGCTAACGGACAAAAGCTTAAAGCTTTCAGTTCAACAAAAGCTTGTGTTGAGTATGTTCAAAGAGACTGAGAGAGAGAGAGAGAGAGAGAGAGAGAGAGAGAGAGAGCGTGTGCAAAGCTGTCATAAGGGCTGCTTGAGAGCGCGAGCGGGCGGAGGATTGGTCGGGTTGAGCGCGTGGGAGTTAGCGCTCGTAATGTCAATTGCTTGGGCTCTAAGGCTGTGTGCAGTATTTTGAAGCCTCTGCCTCGCTTACAGCTGAGACAAAAGAAAGCCCGCTCACAAACCCACACACAAACACACACGGACTTGCACACACACACACATGGATTTCCGTGGATTTATTAATGCTATAATATAACGCATACGCCGCATGGGCTGCTGTTTGTTTCGTTTCGGATTTTTTCCAATTTAATGTTTTTTTTTTTTTTTTTGGCATCGCAAGATGAGCAAAATTAATAAAATTTTGTTAATGAAAATAACAAATTTTATAGCATAATTAAAAGGGATTGCCCAACAGCAGCCGAGCACATTTTCTCTTCATATAGCTCTTAATCAAATGCGAGTGAAATAAGTTGAGCTGAAAATTATATGAAAATATGGACTGGCAGGTCGGCTGGTTGCCTGCTGGCTTATTTTCATTTCATTATTTATGTGGCTTAAGCTGATTTAGAAATAGAATTTTAATAATAATGAATTTTGAAGCATGAAAATTCTCATAAAAATATTTAAATTTTACAGCAGGGATTTAACACTGAATTCTCTTTGCCCAGAG